GTAGGGGGGGCTTGGGGGAGGCAGCTGATTGGTGCTCTGCTGTAACATCGATGTTTCTCTTTCTCTCTTCCTCTCCCTTCCTCTCTCTAAAAATCAGTAAACATGTAAAACAAAAAAAACAGACATACATTAATAGAATATAAATCATCTAAATCCTTTAAAGGCTAGACTGTTCATCCTTGAATAAGTAGTCTCTTTAAATGTCTTTAAGCTAATGTATATAATGGAGTTACTATATTTCATCTTGATATTAAAAATCACTAATATTTGTCAGTTCTACAACGCTCTAAATTTTTTTCCCCCCTCTCCCGAGGATATTTTTTTCCATTGCTTCTCAGAGAGAGTGGAAGGGCAGGGAGAGAGAAACATGGAGAAACACATCCATTGGTTGCTTCCTGCACACGCCCCAGCTGGTGCCAGGGTTGGAGGCTACAGTTGAGGCACGTGCCCTTGGCAGGAATCCAGCCCAGGCCCTTCAGTCTGCTGGCCAACTAACCACTGAGCCAAACCAGCCAGGGCTCACAACGCTCTAAATATTATTAAGCTTTAAAGAAATGGTTACAAATCTACCAAAATGTAATTTTTATTTTATATATTCAGATTCTTTTAATGCACATTGTTTACATTTAAAAAATTCTTTTATAGCTACAAAAGAAGGAGCTGGTGCTGTTGATGAAGAGGATTTTATTAAAGCCTTCGATGATGTACCTGTAGTGCAGGTGAGTGAAGATATTTGATTTTCGTTAAAAACAAGGATAGGCTCATTCAAATTTTACTTTTCAAGCATGTGATATGGGAAGTTCCTTACTAGGTAAGGTAACTTTAACTATTAATACTACAGGAGATCTGAGGTTGCAGACAAGAAAATGTTGGAGCCTTTTATAGCTGAAATGAAGAGCAAAAGTCAAGGCCCAAGATGATCTTTCAGTAAGAACTAGAAAGCAGTTGCTTGCTCTAGTAATAAATTTGTGGGTCAGGTTACATAAAAGAGGAAAAAAGTGATTAGATCATCAAAGGGAACAAAGAAGCATGCTTCTTTAGGGGTTTTTCTTAGAAAGAAAAGTTTGTAAATGTAAAGTGTTTCCTTGTCTGAAAGCTATGAAGAGTGGCTTAATAAAGCTTAGTTTATGCCATCTTGATGCTTCACTTAAGTACCTAACAGGTGAAGCAAAAGTTATTGATAAAAGTTGGGGTGAAGCCCTATATCTTCTTAATGGCTTTGAGTGTCTCCAAGTTATCTATTAATGACTGGAGGTAACAATACTTTTCTTAGTCTACACTGACTATCCATGCTCTGGATTCCTATAGCATTTTATGTCTATGTGAATTGCTTGTTACCTGCTGTTTGGTTACCATATGTGTATAAATAAAATTACAGGCATCTTAGACTAAGGTTCATCCTTAAGTCCTTGACCTTTTCAGCATGCCTCATTCCTAGGTGATGATTCCCCTACCTGTCTTATCAGATGTGGGGATAAATGAAAAAGTAGATTTGAAAGTGATTAAAGTTAAGTAGGTATAATGTGGTGTTATATATTGTACTAGTAGTAAAGGACCTGTGCATCACTGCCAGCTCCCCAGCAGGCCTCTTTCTCTTTGAATGTGAAGTCATCTGTTAGGTTTACAGTAAGGCTGTATTTGAGGCTCGGTTACCCATGCGTGGGCACCAGGCCTAGTGGGTACATAAAGTAGGGAAGAAGCTCACCCTAAGACACATCTGTCCAGATGTTATCTCATAGATTCTTCCAGAAAATGAAATGATTCATTTTACTAGCTAAATGCTCTTGATTTCATTAGTAATTAAGAAATAATCTTTTTTATTCTTTAAATTTTCTTTTGATTGTAAATTAATGTTGCTTACAGATTTATTCCAGCCGAGACCTTGAGGAATCCATAAACAAGATTAGGGAAATACTGTCTGATGACAAGCATGATTGGGAGCAAAGAGTAACTGCTGTAAGCATTGACTTCATTTGATTACATTGTCATTAGATTTGTTTATATGTTCTAAACACTTTATTATGAAATTGGGGTACAGCCCTAATGAATTTTAAGTAGTAAATATTTTAAATATAAATTACTGCATTAACATTTTACCTTTTAGTAGAGTACCTCACTTACATTTCTGTTTGTAAAACATGCCAACTTACACTTTTATGTAGCTCCTATATTTTTAACAAAGATCTAATTGTGGAATGTCTGGTGATGCCCTCCACTCTCACCTGGGTAAGGACTTAAACCTATAATTTTTAGCAAGTGAAGCCTGCTCTTAGTGGCATTTTCAGTGTGTGTGCCTCTGATCCTTTCTTCATATCACTTGCTAGAAAGTCCTGTTCTGTCTGTTTTTAAAAGTAGATTAAGGAAAGCAAGTAGGCTGAACATCAAAGGGAAGGTGTATCTGATCTGAGGACAGCTATTTTACAGTGGTTGGCAAAAAGAGGGGTGATAAAAAAGCTGTTGTTTTCTATTTCAAATTCAGACCAGCTATTTAGTAAAGATACAGTGGAGGATACTAAAAAAAGACTGTAGGATTGCTACTTCCTTTGATTCATTAAATAAATGGCAGTTGGAGTGAGTGTGGGGGAAAGGTAAGTTGGGGGGAGGAGCTTTTTACAAGCTAAAATGAAGGTTGTTTGTTAATTTATCATTAGGCTAGCATGTATACACAAAAATGTTTCCAATTTAAAAAATGCATTTTGTAGAATTGTAATGTATTTATCACAGATACTACATTTAAAAATTATTTGTATTATTTGTGATGTAGATTTGTTCATTATATTAGCTACCATTTAACTAGCTGAATTCTTTTTGGAAAACTATTTCTGTATCATTTAACTTTGATGTTGATCTCTCATATTTGATGGCTTCTATTGTTTTGTATGTTCTGTTTTAGGAATAGTTTTGTATATCTCCTAATTTTCTCTATCCCATTAGCTAAAAAAGATTAGATCTTTACTTTTGGCTGGTGCTGCTGACTATGATAACTTCTTTCAACATTTGCGACTTTTGGATGGAGCCTTTAAACTATCTGCTAAGGATCTGCGGTCTCAGGTAGTGCGGGAGGCTTGTATCACATTGGGGTAAGGACTGCAAAGCTCCAGATTCTCACATGTCCTAACATAGACTCAGCACAGGCTTCACAGACAGTTCACGGGGTCTGTCTGATGGGTCTTTCTAATGTTACTTCTAACTAGTCTCAAAGACCCATTCCAGTTACATTGCTGTTAGTACTTTTACAATATTTCTCATCCAGTTATGTAAAGTATGACAGATTTTAAACTATATTCCATAGCTTAGCTCTGAAGCAGTTGTTATTAATAATACCGAAAAAGAAATTTATAAACTTCTGTTTCTCAGCCTTTTCATTCATTTTGCTGGCAAGATATAGCATGATTATCAGAATTTTTTATTGTTTCTAGAAGAGCACTGTAGCTATAAAATTGAAATTAAAGGCATGTAATATATATTGTAAATTTTTATCAATGTTTGAAGCTGGAACTTCTGTGTTAGAAAGTATGTCAGAATACCAGAGAAGCAGTGACATAAGATGGCATTGTGGCTGTTTAAAGGTTTTGGCTGCATTTGCATTTTGAAGCATGAATATCTTATGTTAAAAATAAAAGGGTGAAAGAGAAAAAGCGTGAGGGAGCTTTTTCATGTTTATGTTTTATTAGTGTATGATAAATTTGTTTTTTTGCTATTTGAATTCTAATTAGTTGGAAATGATTTATTTTAAAAAGGAACAAACTGTTGGGCTAATGGCTGTTTGCCAACTCCTCTACATGTACCTTGGAAAGATTTCAGACCCTTGTGTTTATTTCTAGATAACTCTAAGTGAAGGCTCTAAAATGTTAGATTTATATGCTTCACTGTTTGCGAGAAACACGACTGCAGCCCAGTATTCATTTCTTATTGTAGGCATCTGTCATCAGTTCTGGGGAATAAGTTTGACCACGGAGCTGAAGCCATCATGCCGACTATCTTTAATTTAATTCCAAACAGTGCCAAAATTATGGCCACTTCTGGTGTTGTAGCGGTTAGGCTAATCATTCGGGTAAGTATGTCTTGGGCCATACATAGAGTAAGCAAGTGGTAAATGCTGGTGCTCAGTAAGCAGCGTTTGGAGGCGTTTTTCATTGGCGTGACTGCATGTGCTGGAACCATGCCTTATGTGCAGTATGGGCCCCTTCTCCCACTTGGTTCTGGCACGCGAGCCTTTCACATCCCGTCACGCGGATGTGGATGCGGGGTGCGGTTGCTGCAGTGATGCTCTCTGACTCACCGTTGCTTTTCAATATTTGAACATCTCCACCTTCCGAGTCTCTGCCCTGTTGCTTCCATGCCCTGGCTGCGCTGCCATTCCTTCCTCCCTAGTCCCTGGCACTCCACTTTCGGTGCTGGTGCTCGTGGCTTTGTTCACCTGTAACTGTTATTTACTTAATTACACTTAAGCATAGAAACAGCAGTCTCTTTAGTTCAGTTTTCTAAACTCATTTATTTAGATTTAAGTAGCTATTTGAGTAACTTATGTACAAGCTTTCAGTAAAATCCACAAAGGCTTAGAGTGAAAGTTTTCCAGATCACTGTTCCCCACCCTCAAGTCCCTTTTTCCCAGTGGCAACCCCTGCAGCTGGGGCTTGATATTAACTAAAGTCTACGCAGAGTATTCTGATTATTGTGGGTTACCTACTTTGTATTACTTCTAGTTCTTACCGCCTGCATTGCCGTCTTCAAATGTTAAACCCAAAGCCATTATTGGACATTTCCATTGAAACAATATCTAAATAAATTGCTCTGCTGACCCCTTTTGAACGCACTCAGACATCTGTTGATCAGGCAATTTAGATTTTATTCCAACCATTTGTTTTAAGTTTATACTTATTTACATGTATGGTGTCTGTCTGGTTCTGTAAATTTTGTTATGGCCTTTGGCAGTATACAGCGATACTTTTTAAACTCAGTGAAAGTCTAATCTAAATATAGAAGTGCTTTAGGTAGGTTAGTAAGGAAGTGCTTGTCCTAGTTTTCTTTTGTTTTTGTATTTTCAAGTGTTTCTCTGTTTTTTGTCTTCTCCACAGCACACACACATCCCTAGGCTAATACCTGTCATAACAAGCAACTGTACCTCTAAGTCTGTTGCAGTTAGAAGGTAAATTTTTAAACTGTTTTCTTATTATTTTTGCATTGTTTAAAAACCAAAACAAATTTCAAATTTTCCTAATGGGAATAAGTTCGTTCAAAATGTTTAATATTATTTAAGATTGCTGCAATAAATACCTTTGGTTTGAAGGATTATGATCTAAATACCTGGGCAAGTAAATTTGGACAACCTCTATTATTTGTGTGTGCATCGTGCATGAGAGAGAGAGAATGAGTTTGTTTGTGTGTGTGTGTGTGTGTGTGTGTGTGTGTGTGTGTGTGTGTTTGTGTGTGTGTAGAATTGGGGATTGGATGGGAGAAGGAGAGAGGACCCCCTGTACATCTTTTCCTGAGATAGTCTCTCTACCTATATCACTGGTGTACTCCATTCTTTGAATGAAGACAGTAACTACATACGTGCAAGAAAAAAAAATGTAAAAATTAATGGCAATAATTTAATAGTAACATAGGTATGAGGAGATATATGTGTTCGCATGTTCTGATAATGATTTCTGGGATTCTGAATTCTGACCAACCACCTGTTTCTGCACAGTTATGGGAGATATACCCAGAAGATACAACCTGGGTAGCTAGCTAGCTAGGGCTTTGTTCCTAAGTCCCTGTTTTGTCTTGTGTCCTGGTGAGCTGTCCTAGATCACATGAGTGACAAGGACCCTTCTAGCTGGGATTTGTGATTCTTGACTATTGAGTCACAGTCTTTTGAGAGGCTGTTGGCTCTGTTCCTATAGTTTTGTCTTGATTCTAGCACAGTGGTAGAGCCCTCCCCTCTCATGCTTAGCACCCAGTGTATGCTAGCTGCCTGCTGTTTCCCACCTTTCATAGGGTTTCTGCTGGTCCTGCCAGGTTTCCATGATGGGGGATCCTTTTAAGCATGCGGCGGCCCCATATCCATCTTACAGTTACGTGGAAGCTTGTAGAAGAAAAGAAGGGGAGTAATCCAACTGTATAAAGCCCGGAAGAAAGGAGTGTACTCCTTCCACTGAAAAAGCTTAATTTTGAACTGCATGAGGAATTGTACCTACCTGAGGAATGCAATCTGCCCTTGACTCACACTTCAGCTTCTCCTTGGGATTAGTGCAGAGCAGCTTCAGCTCTCCCTAGAGATGAGCGTGCAGAGTCAGAAAGGTATAGGAATGGCATGAGTTCCAGAAGAGGCAGACTTGGGTGGAAGCATTGCTTCCTCCCACGTACTGTTTGACCTGTTAGGAATGAGAGGGCCCCTGTGCAGAGTTGTTCTGCAGATCCAGTCACTTAGGTGAAAGGGTTTGACAGTAAAAGCTTAATAAATGGGAACCAATATTAGAATTTGCTGCTATCATTACTGATGTTTCAGGTTTCCTAGAGAAATTCCCAGTGTGCTTTTCCTTTGTTTAAGGCGGAGTTGCTACAGTGAGGTGACACCGATCTTTGTGGTGAACATTACAGGACGTTTGGTGTAGTTGTCGGCTCAAGCTGCCATAACAAAATACCAAGCACTGGGTGGCCCAGACAATAGAACTGTATTCACTCAGTTCTGAGGCTGGCAGTTAGGTTGGGGTGCCTGAGTGGTTGGTTTCTAATGAGGGTGGCTGCAGACGGCAGCAGCCTTCTCACTGTGTCTTCACATGGCAGAGAGAAAGAGAGCAAGCTCTCTGGTGTTTCTTCTTAGAAGGGTACCAGTCCCATCATGAGAGCCCCACTTAATTACCTCCCAAAGGCCTCATCTCCAAATACCATCATATTGGGGATTAGGGCTTCAACATCTGACCTTTGGGTTAGCACAGTTCAGTCTGTTCATAACCCTTAACAGTTCTGGCCTCTGGTGCTAAATGTGAGTAGCAGCCTACAAGCACTGTGACAATAGAAATACCACCCCCTTCATCAGTTTCTGAGCCTCATCCAGATTGCTGTTCCCTTCTTCATTCAGAGTGAATGTCAGGCATAACCATGTGTCTTAGTGCTGAAAGGAGAAATGGGGACCATCTGGCCCAGTCTCTCTGCCTTTAGAAAGGCAAAGAGAGACAAAGTGGGCGGTGTAGCCAAGGCAGTGCACTTTTCCGCTTTAACCTGTACCTGCTTTGCTTTGTAGAATTGGTAAGGAATGGATTGCATAGCTTCCCTGCCTTACAGAAGTTTATAATTTAGTTGGAGAGATTAAAAACAATTACACAAAGCAGTGTGAGAGTGAGTTACAGCATATGTGGTGGATTTAGGAATTCAGAGAGAGCAGCGATTAAAACCAGCAGATACATTCTCAAGGAGCTTCATAGAAAGCTGAAACTTGAGCTGCCTCTGAATGAGGAGTAGAAGAAGAGAGACAAGTTCTACCCTAATGTGTTTAGTTAATGATGTGTTTAATGCCAACATTGATAGGCTTCTGCGTGTGCTGTTAGTCTAAAAAGTTGAAAACAAAACCTAATTACAGGTGATATTTTTGATTAATATTTAAGACAAGAATTAGCACTAAAGATTGCTGTTTTCACTAAGAGATAAATGAATATAGACATATGCACACCCACATTTAAACAGAGAGACAAGAAAAGTCAGACCAGGAAATAACATGGGGAAAAGGGTAGAAATAGAATAAACTTGGCCTAGGTTGGGGCAGGGGTGGGGAAAGTGATAGTGAGGAAAAGATGTGGGTCTTTTCGTCAATGCCTTTCCTTGAAGAAAGCTGGCTTTACAACTCTCCTACTCCACACTGTGACACCCCTAGAGTTGAGTTAAAGACCTCTCCTGTGTGCTTCTAGAGCCCCTTGTGCTCTTGGCACATGGTAACCATTTCTTGTCTGTCGGGCTCCCTAGATTGTGTCTTGATTACCACTGTATCTCAAGCATAGGTTAAAGGCTTATTAAAGATTTTTATTGAGTCATTAGTTATATGGATTATGAGGTTTTGAATTGGGAAGATCATGGGAAAGAAAATCTGGTCATTCAAGAAAGATCACCTTCTGACTGGTTTCCTTGAATGGGTTACTAAAATTATTAAGATTTATTCCTACAAAGATGGATATCCTGGACTTCACCCAAAGTGGTGATGTAATCCAAAGGAGATGAGACTGGAATTGTTTCAGTGCACGAATCAGACAAAGAAAGATCACAAAAGTGAAAAGGCTTGAAAAGAAAGGACATTGAAAGATTGAGGAGAGGAAAATGGTTGAGTAGCTAGAAAAAAATGTTTTAAGCATTACGTAGGACCTTTGCAGGAAAATTTGTCAAACACTGTTTGTTTTTCAGGGTATTTTTTACTTTTTGTGTGCAAGGCATTCTGTGAAATTAACGCAAAGACCAGTTGCCTGATTCTGTAATGTGCGTTAATCTTTTGTGCATGTTTACGTCTTGTATCCACTGTTATTTGAGGTAGGATAAAACAAGTGAGAAGGGTGCGCCCTGTCCGTGCTGTTGCTGTGCAGCTCAGGTTTCTGAGGGCAGGGAGCTCTGTGTCCTGTCCCTACAGCTAGCCTAGCTCTGCGGTTTTTCTTTGACCAGCATAGATGCTTAACTTTTTTTTTTTAATATGCTTTGACTTTGTCAATTCTGATTCCATTTTTATGTTCCATTTTTTAAATCATAAAAATTAGAAGAAATTTATCAATTATAAAAAGTAGTGTTGGGTCATTTAAGAAAAAAGCTTTTATTTTCACTAACATACAAATTACTAAGTTACATGTTTTTTCTTTACAATTTTCAGGCGCTGTTTTGAATTTTTAGATTTACTTTTACAAGAATGGCAAACACATTCACTGGAACGGTGAGCATCTGATTGCTGTCTTTTTCCTCTGAATTCAGTCTTGAGATTTAATGACTCAGTGAGTAGTCCAACCCACTTTCTGTCAGAAATGAAGGAATCTAAGCATTTGTTCTCATGGCTACCTGTGTTATTTCTCCCTGTCGGAGGCACATAGCATCAGTAGACGCCTGAGTGAACTTCATGGATTGAAGGATTAGTGTGTCTGGGGATGTGGACAGATGTGCACTGTGACAACTACACGGTCAGGATGGACCTTCACCGACTGACCCTGCAGCTGGCATTCCTGTCAGTTCCAGGGAGGCCCGTGTCTAAGCTGTTCTGAGCAGCCAGGGTGTATCAGAAAGTCTGCAGTTTTCTCTTTATTCAGACTGGTGTTTGGTAACTTTCAAATCATCATAATAAAAACTAGGATTATGACAGAATTCTTGAAGAATAGAAGCAGGCCTCTGAATTTTGAGTCATTTTTTATTATTTCTGAGTTAAATTTAGAGACATAAATGGTGATGTTGTGCCACTCATTTTTAATGATATATTGTATAGTTTGTGAAGAACTTTACAGCATATTAAACATTTTATTAGAGTGGGATTTTAATAAATTGAGTACTCCTGGGAGGCCCATCCATGCTGCAGTGGTCAGAGGTGGAATGAAGCCAAGCCTCCCAGAGGTACATGTTCATCTGAACATACTTTGCATCTAGAAGATAGTCTCACATTTTTGTCAATACTTACTTGTTTTTTAATCTCATGGGTAGTATGTCCTCTTTATTTGGTGGCAGTTTTGGAATTTAGAGGTGGAAAGTGGTATGAAGTATTTAATGTGGGGACAGGTGAGTAAAATAGAAGAGCATGGAGAACTCTGATGTAGCCTCGTATATTCATTTACCTCCCAGCTTACTGTTTGTCACTTAGCAGGTACTCACTAAATGTTTATTGAATGAATAAAGGAATGAGGGAAAGACTTTGAATGGGCTGGTAAAATTGGTAACTAGTCTTTGTTCTATGAAACCATTCATTCCAGTCATTTCCCTTTTCTTAAAACTTTGTTAAATAGGCCATGAGACAGTTTCATGATTTCTTTTCATCTAGGGTAAAACAAAACTAAAGAGAGTACCTATTTATAAAATAATTACATAATTTTATAAAATTATTCATGATACATAGTGTAACTTGAAAAAAACCATTCTCTTTAATTATAGAAATGCAGTGCAGATAGCCTCTTTAGTATTAAGATTATTATTCTCTCATTAAAATTTCTATAGGAACTAGTTCTGCCTATGGAAAAATGGGGTTTTATTGTTTTGGCTCATTAAAGATTGAGCTAAATAAGTATGGCCTGAAAAAAATCAGCTGTAACTTTAAAAAATCACACCAGAGAGTAGAGTTATCAAGGTACTTAGGCAGGGGGTAGGGCACTGGGACAGACGAGGAGAGCTGCCCAGAATGTTCTGATTCTGGGAGCTGCATTGTTACTTGACTCACTTGGCAGAAGGCTCTAAGTTCCACGTTGCCATTTTGAAGTTATTTCTCACACTTGTTTCTATCTGCACAACACCTATGTTAATGATTGTTACTACTTTCTTTTCTAAATGTCTAGACACATATCAGTATTAGCTGAAACAATAAAGAAGGGAATCCATGATGCTGATTCTGAAGCAAGGATAGAAGCCAGAAAGTAAGTGTCTATTTGTACGTGACTTTTTTGTGTGCTCAGTGTACTTTCCTCATTAACCCCTGTTAAAGGCCAAGTCATAATCCAAAGTGACTTCTTGGCTTGCTATGAAAAAGTCCTGATCACGGGGCTTCTGTCCATGTGATCACACCTCTGCAAGCATCAGGTGGTGGTTTGGGGAGTGTGCGTCACAGCTCGGGGAGGTGGGGTGAGCGGAGGCTCAGGATTATCCCAGTGGTGACTTGTTGCCGTCTCACATTTGAGGAAGTTATGCTCCAGTCATGTGGCCATGGCCCCATACATTCAGTATCTCCCACAATTTTGCCATTGTGACCGTCAGCATCAGAAGTTTCATGCTGAGACTTTCTCTCGGGCAGGGAGCCCATAGATAAGTACTGCCAGTTTTGTACCTGTGGCGGTTTTTTCTGTGCTTTTGTTGAGCAACTCTTCTTTTTGACACAGATTAAAACCTACTCTTGACAGCATGAGATATTTATTGTTTTATTTAGCTGCACTGTTATGTTTTGAGCAAGTACTTGTTGCTCTTTGCTCTCAGTTGAATTATATTTCTCTGTTTCTGAGTTTTTTGGAGGACCTCACTATGATGCTGAAGTGTTCACCACAAGCTCGAGCATCTTGGGTTGTTCCTACCAAAATAACTGACATAATTAATAGTTGGTAAAAACTATGAGGAATGTTTTTGTTAATGATCTACTTCTGCTGTTGTTACCCTTGTGTTCTTCCTCTCCCCCAGTTTTTTCTAGTTCTTTAGTTATAATACAGTAACGATTTTAAGTAGTTCTGAATGCCTTTCCGCTTTCTTTTGTACGTATTATCTAAGGCAATTTTTAAATACTTCAAATCAGTGAGTGTCAAATCACATTGATAAAAACCACCATTAGCTTTGGCTGGTGTGGTTCAGTGGTTATAGTGTCGGCCGGTGCACCGAAGGGTCACGGGTTTGATTCCCGGTCAAGGGCGTGTATCTGGGTTGCAGGTGTGATCCCCAACCCCATTTGGGGTGCATGCAGGAGGCAGCTGGTCAATATGTCTCTCACATCGATGTTTCTATCTTTCCCTCTCTTCCTCCCTCCCTCCCTCTCACTCTCTAAAAATCAATGAAGAAAAAATCCTCCGGTGAGGATTAACCAAAAACAAAAACAAACAAACAAAGCTACCGATAGTGAGTCCCCTCAGGTTTTAGGTATAGTTCTGGATATTTTAGCTCCATCTTCCTTAAGGCTCCCCAGTCTTCTTGCAAGTTAGCCTCTTGAATTTCCATGTTATGGAGACTGAGATTCAGAGAAATTAAGTAACTTGCCCAGTGTTAACAAGCCAGTAAGTTGTGAGGTCAGGGTCCGTGGTCTCTTCCTTATACCAGGCTGCTCTTAAGAGCAGGTAAACAGGATTCGAGACCTTGAAAATGTCATGTGGTGTATGTATCCAGAGCTCAGTGAAGTACCTGTTCGATCCTGACTGTAACAGGAAGCTGTGCTTTCCCGAGGTGTTACTGGGGCTTCCACAGTCACTTCAGCAGAGAAGCAGAGCACTTGTACCACAACCTGGAGTCCTCCTACCAGAAGGCCCTGCAGTCGCACCTGAAGAACTCGGACAGCATCGTGTCCTTGCCGCAATCCGATCGCTCGTCTTCTAGCTCTCAGGAGAGTCTGAAGTAAGGAATTTATTCATGTGGGATTTTATGTTTAAAATTAGCTGCGTGAGAACACAGTCCCAGCTATGTGTTTACATGTGTATTCCTGTTATAAATCCCCTTTACTTCACGTGGATTCTGTCCTAGGTAATTACTGTAGGGATGTTAAGAAACAGGTTGCCTTGGTCTCTGTCATAAGTAGTTTTTAGGTAAGCTTATGTGATAGCCCAGTAATAGAGTTCTGGAGTGAAGTAAGTGAATTGTTCAGTAGGAGACAAGTTTGTAAAGGGGGGGCATTCCGAACCTGGGACTTACTGCCATGTCATCTTTATTCCATGTTTCTAGCGTCTGTCTCTAGTTACGACTTCTCTCTGTGTGTTTGGAAGGTAGTCAAAATGTAGCGTTAAAGCTTTTCTCAAATTGGGGGTTTTAAGATTGTGGGCCAAATTACCTGAGGAATTCTGAAAACCCTGAAGTAATTCTTCATTATCACAATTTCTAGTTACAAGTTATACTTGTATTAATGCAGGTCAAGTGCACATTTGCTAATAAACAGGTATATACTTTTATTTTCAGTCGGCCGCTCTCTGCCAAAAGAAGTTCTACTGGAAGTACGGCCTCTAGAGGTGAGATGACAGTGTGGATGGAACAGGCAGCCCCGGGAGGCCTGTTCCCACCTCGGGTGAGCTGTGCTGGAAGCCAGCCGCCTCATCTGCGCTTCCACTGTCCCCAGCAGAGCTCCACTTCCCCAGGGGCCATTAGCTGTGAGGAATACATTGTCAAGACGACTTCTTCAGGCAGAAATTCAAGTGTGGGGCCCTTTCTCACATACCTCCCCCTAGCATGTGGACCTTGCCACAAATAGTACAGCTGTTCCACCCTGGTCACTGGATCAGGGAGTACAGACAGCTGGCGTTGCTTAGAGAAGCAGCAGCTAGGTGCCTTGGAGGCAGCGGGTGGGTGGAGTGCTCCTGGAAGGAGCGGGGTGTCTAGGTAAGAGTGCACATTTTTGCCACATTGTGAGGAAACTGGCCAGATGCAAACAATTTTTTATTGTTTCACTTCGCATGCTAACCAGAAATATGGTCCATTTCTTTGATTACAAGAAGACAAATGTGACAAGTGTATATAGTTGCGGTTACTTTCCATGTCCTCAGCATTGGCTGAACTCTGTCTTCAGGGACCAGGAGAAAGTGTTGGTCAGGGCTGTGTTCCAACCTTTGTTAAAAACTTGGAATTTGTTGTAAAGAAAAACAAAATTAGTTTAACAATATATGTATACAATTCTAGTGTGGTCCTTGCTAATTTTCTTCCGTTACCACCAAAGCTTCTACAGTCAGCACCAAATCTGTGTCAACGACTGGGTCCCTCCAGCGGTCTCGAAGTGACATCGATGTGAATGCAGCTGCCAGTGCCAAATCAAAAGCCTCCTCGGCTTCAGGCGCCACACCCTTCAGCTCGGCAGCGGCCTTGCCTCCAGGGTCATACGCATCCTTAGGTAACTGGATCTCCACCACCTTTCCCCCAAGTTCTCGTTGAGGTGACACTTATCTCTGCTCAGGTTTATTTAGCTAATTACAAAAATAGTAATTGAGGAGGTTGTCACTGTTGCAGGGCTGATGTTTAATATGAGTGACTCTGCACTTACTGCAGGTTAACAGCTCCCTTTCCTGGAGCTGGAGCACATGCTTTCTCTGTAGCGTCGTGCTTTTTAGTGATGAGTGGGTAACTGGTACTCACGTGGTGTGCGGCACTGAGCACGTTCTCCCTCTAGCTCCACCCCCACGTGTTAGCAGCCCAGCGGCTCCCCAAGCTGGGTTTTCTCCCCTTCTAGCTTTGGTGGGAGCAGAGCGGGCAGGTGTTAGTGAGGAATTCACCAAAGATGGTCACTATAGTTAGAAGTTTTCTAATTTGAGAATGTAATTGGAGTGGGGAAGATGGGTGGGGGGAGTGGGAGAGGGATGACAATGGGGGGAGGGGCCTTTTAAGGAATGTGGTGGACTTATAACCAGGGTAACTATATTGTACAGAAGAGTGTTGTCCTCCCACATGCCACTTTGGGAAGAGCATGCACTTACTCTAATGGTAGCCCAACCCACAAGATTAAAAACATAGTAATTTTCAAAAGAATTAGTATCAGACAGAGTGGTGGGGTCAGTATCTCAGCAGACACTTAACACCTGCTCTATGTAAGGCTGATGGTTTGTTTAACTTTATGAGAGCAAAGTCGTCCACAGCCAAAATCTGGGGGCTTAGCTGGATCTGTTTGATTTTGGATTTTATGGAAATGAATACAATTTAAATTTTATGAAACATTTGAGACTGAATTACCTATGTTTACATATTAATTCCAAAATCAGTCCTAAAATTAATATTTCAAAAAATGTTTTGTACATTGAAGCATAGTGAGAGTGAAACTGAACACCAAATGGGTCCCAGCTGCCTGACACTACTTGAGCCAGTTAAGCAGAGACAGGGTTGAATTCCGAATGTCAACTTCCATGTCCCCAGGTGCATAACTCCCAGCCAGGTTAGAAAGTGCTTTTTCTGATTGGAGCAGAACAATCACAGTTAACAGAACATAATTAATATTTATTATAACAATAGCTAACAGTCACAGTCAACAGAGCATGATGAACATCTCTGCCCCCAACAAGAGAACACCAAGAGGAGATCCTGGGCCCGCCATTTGTTAGCTTGGTAACCTCGAGCAAGCCTTGGAGTCTTCCTATGCCCATAAATGAGTTGTAATAATAGCCACCTCACCCAGGTGTATAATAGGAAGTCATACAAAAGGGAAAGAAATTGTGACTCTGATAAGGCATGTTATTCATTTGAAAGGTATATATGTTCTGGAATGTTTGTTAAACCAGCCTTGTGTTCTCTATGGAACTAGCTCATATATGGATGGATACATTTAGATTGGGAAGAAACCCACCAGGAGCTCCCTTTCCTACAGTTGTAACCTTACATAGGAATTTCAATGATACTATGTTGATACGTAGTCACTGAGCAAGAGGGAAGTCAGAACTCCCTCTCCTGTGGTGAAGTTGGTCTGTTAATTTCAATTCAGTTTTTTAAGTGCTTACCAGTGTTTTAAATACATTTAACCCACACCTAAGTATTTGTTTCATTGCTAGAAAACTCGAGAAAAAAAACATTTAGAGTCCTCAGTGGCCTTTGTTTTCTGTTCACATTTGGGATATTATAATATGAACCATGTAGACTTCCCTCAGTGCTAGTAAAAGCACCCTGGTCTTTTAGTCTGATGATGTAGAACTGACCTTTTAGAAACACTGATAAATTTTCAGCCCAGTGTTCCCTCTTCAAGTAATAAGACTGGAGTATTCTCATTCTCTTACCCTTTCCTGACCATCTCTAACTTCCCTTATGTTCAAAGCAACAGAAAACAAAACCACCCTGATAGTAGTAATCCTACTAAGAAGTGGTTACAGTCACTACTTAGGCTGACACATGGCATCTGTGCAGAAGTGTAGCATTAAAGCTGATGGTCCTTTTCCAAACTTCTAGAGTCCAGACACATGAGGGAAGATACGGAGTCCGTAGGCCTTGACTCAGGTACCATGCCGCCAGCTTGGCTGCTGAGTAGTTGGGGTAGGCATTGCTGGGGCCAGCTTCTCCACACTTCTCTCGCCTCTGCCCTGGGTGGCTCTTTAGTTTAGTTTTCAGTCCTGTGTCCTCCACCCACCCCTCCGCTGGTACCTTGTTCCAGGAAAAAGGAACTCTTCAGAGGGTGAGCGCTGGCTGAAAGAAAAAATAACAGTCACTGCCAACTGGGACCCTGCCCTGGAAGGCCCTTTAGTGTGTTGTTTTCCAAAGGCAAAAAGTACATGATACCAACTAAGCTGATTTCAAGATAAGACACTTTGACTTGCTTCAGACTCTGCTTTGCTGTTGGACTTGTTTCCCTTTTAATTTTATTTTAAATTGTACTTTTGCTTTTTTAGTAGCTAATAACATTCTGCTTTTTAAGTTTTTAAATGTTACTAACTGTTCCCTGTTATCCCTTCCCTTGTTTTTTAATTTGCTTAAAGACGGTTCTGCCACTAAAGCGGAGGGTAAGCGGTTTGTGTCTGTGCTGGAGGCGTGTCCCCGCTGTGCCCCCGAGTGCTCCCTCCTGCCACTCTCTCAGGCCCCTGCATGCAACTGCACGCTGCCCCCTCTCTCCGCTCCGTCTCTTCCGGGTTCTGCCTCCCCCTGCCTGGGTTCTCCTCCTTTCTTGTTCAGTCTTCGTCCTCGTGAACTGTGGCACGTGGGTGTGCTGTATGTGGCTCTCACCGCGTGCCCACGGGTGCAGTGTTGGTGTGACTTCATGACGCTGTCCCTGCTGCAGTCGCAGAGTGTGCGACTCCTGAAGCGTTTCCTCACCTTCTATTTCCTTTGTCTCCTTCTCTTTCGTGCTTTTGTGGACCTATCAGAATTTGCTTTCCTGTTTTAAAAATAAATTTGTGTCAGTTATTCGGGTTAAAGACTGGTAAAGGTTTTCTACCAGGTAATTTACAGAAAATTTTAAAAATGCATTTTTATTCCCCAGTGATGTTACTGAATTACACCATCTCATTTTTATTTGTGTCACTGACAAACCCCGTCATTCATTTTTCCTTATTCACTCACTCGTCGGTCACGTAGTAAGTGCCTCTTCGGTGCTGCATCCTCTGCTACACATAGGACCTGCTATGGTGACAGATGCACAGGCCCAGGTCCACTTTGTTCTGCTTTATGCCATTCTCAAGAAGGCCTCACTGAGTCTGCATTGGCCTTTGGGTTTTAGACATAGCTATTCTAGTCTGTATAGGTCTTGGACTAGCACATGCCAGACAGGGTCACCCTTTTGCAGAGTCTCTAGATAGAAAGCATGGTAATGTTTCACCTAGTGGCTTAGACCCACCAACCCTCAGGATAATGCTGGAACAATCAGGAACTGCTAGTTTACTTTCATATATTACTTAGCAACTCTAAAAGGCCAACCTGCGAGGTGTACTGGGTTTTATGTTGTTATGTGTAGTTCACAGTACTTTTAATGGACCCAACTACTTCCTAAGATGAACACAGTCCCCAGATCAGCGTTCTTCAGACTTACAAGAGTTATTGCCCGATGCTTGCGAAAGAACACTCCTTTGTCCTTCCCTGAAAATCCTGATTCACTTTGGAAGGAGCAGGGGAATGTGAATTTTCAACAAGCCCCACTAGTGATTTGTAGGGTTGGAGAAGTTTGTGAAATGAGAAGTTTCAAAAAATGGAAAAGAAACCTGTGTCATAATGAGAACCTCATTTGTGATAGAAGACTGAAGCTGGGTGTAATGTTCATTTTTTATTTCTCCTTCCCATAAAAACTGTCCTTAGTGTTTTCTCAGCCTAGATGGAAAGGAAGTGTGGAGGGTGGAATACAATAATGTGGGTGAGGTGGAGAGTGAAGACAGTATGTGGGAAATTATATTTCCCCCCAGAATGCCCTGATTCCATATGCCTGTATAACAGAATTGAAATCTGCCTATTATTTTAGCTAGCACTGGGAATTTTCACCTTTTTTTCCTTTTTAATCAGTTTTCTTTTTACTAGTTCAGAGAAAGTTCAGAAATTTGCCTACCTGATTACTGTGCAAGAGACTGAATAAGAAGTGTCTTTCTGGTTCTCTTTCCGGTGGGGAAGTGGGAGACTATGTGGGCTTTTGATTGTATAGAGTTCAGAATCAGACATAAGAGAACTTTCTCGAGGGGAGCTCAGCGAGCCTTGGTCCCTGTGTCCCAGGGCTGTGCAGGCTGCTGTAGAGCTGACCAGTCAGAGCCTTGAGCCTTGGTGAGGATGGGAGGAAAGAAGAGATGGCCCTGGTAGGCCTGTAAACTCAAGCAGATCTAGGCTGCCATTCCTCTGTTTGTTGCGGTGAGACTGGGCAGTGATGCTGAGAACAGCCACAGATGGTCTTGAGAAAAAGGCAGCAGTAAATATCACGTAGTGTCTTGTCATATGTTTCCATATCTGAAATTTTGGAATCATTATGGACCTTTGAAAAAATTTATTTTAAAAGAATCTGTTAAATATTTTACCATCTAGCTCCTGAGACAAGAAGAGATAGGTACTGTTGTTATTAGGAGGCGAGATAATTTTGAACCAGTACCTGGGTGCTCTAAATTGAAAATTCAGACAATACATATGAATTCTGGCAACTTCATTATTATAGTAATTGAGAAAATGATATATTCTTTAGAAGTTACTTATCATACACATCAAATAGCCTTGCTAACATTTATGACTAATTAGAAAAATATTTTTGGTGAAGAACCAAAAGCTCAACTTTTGGACAAAAGTGTATTTCCAGGATATCCTTCAGTGTGTTATATGTTCAGGAACTTTAGGGAAAGGAAGCATTTATGTTGTCTATTATGCTGCTTAGAAGAAAGTTTATGACTAGATGTTGAAGTTGTATGGCAAATGATTGCACTGTCATCTAATCTTTTTTAGCTACTATGTTTAGGAAAT